CCACATACTTCATCATGATTGAGACAGAGAAGCCCCAGATGTCTATTCACAGTCGTACGACTCTGGTTGTTAGATTTAAGTGTGATAACAAAGGAAATTCAGTATCATGAACATGTCCATTTTACCTCCCAAAATCTATAAATTCGGGATATCAGAAGAATGGGATGCCTAGGTGGCTCAGTGGTTGAGCATCTACCTTTGGCTCAGGTCGGGATCCCGGAGTCCTGGGACTGAGTCCCACATTGGGCTCCCAACAGAAAGCCTGCCTCTCCCTCTGCCTGTGTCTCTACCTCTCTCTGAGTCTCTCATGAATGAATAAATAAAATCTTTAAAAAAAAAAAAAAAGATATCAGAAGAATGATGTGTAAGGAACTGACCTGCACAATATCAAGTCATTATAAAACCATAATAACCATAGTTAGTACAAATGTAATTATGGAAATTATATAGTCTCTAATTGGGAGAATTTACAGGTAGGTAGGGTTTATTTTAAAAAGCAATAAGCTAAAACATGGAATAAAATAAGAAACACAACTCAAAACCCTGAGGATCCAAAGATTCCCCAGGGGCAATATGTAAATATCTCCTAAGAGGAGATATTTGCAACAGCTATAAACAGTAACACACCATGAACTGGAATATATAAAGAACTTCTACAAATCAATAAGAAAAGGACAAATAACTTTACAGAAAAAAAAAAGGGTAAACAATAACAAATAGGCAAGTCACAGAGAATCACCTTAAGTTACCAATAAATACAGGCTCACTTGCCAGTTATGGGGAGGATACAAATAAAACCACACAGATCCATTTCACACCAATAATATTGGCACTTTTTCCAATTTAAGTTTTTGATTAATTAATTCATATGGTTATAAAATGAAACAATACAAAAAGATGCACATCCTCATCCTTGTGTTCTGTCCACCCCATACCCATCTACTCTCCAGGTTATCACTTTGGGACAATTACACACATACAAACATATTTTCTTATTTTTCTCAATCTTTTTTCAGATAAAAGATATAACACTATATTCAATATACTGTGTCTAGCTTTTTTTTTTTTTAAGATAGTTTTGAAAGTAATCTCTATACCCAATGTGGAGCTCGAACTTACAACCTTGAGAGTCACATGTTTCACTAACTAAGCCAGTCAGGCATCTCTATGCCTTACTTTTTTAACCTAATGATATACTTTAGTAATCTTTCCTTATCAGTAGATGGAATCTACCATATTTTTAATGGCTTCACATTAATTTAATATATGGATAGAGCAAAACTTATTTAACTCATCCTCTACTAAGAAACTTGGCTTTCTTCTAATATATGCTGTTACAAACAATGCTTCAATAAGTCACCTTATATATCACTATGTGTGTGTATACTGTTGACTTTTTAAAATAAATTCCCAAAAGTAAGACTGCTGAGTCAATGAGTAGGTCTATCATCAAACAAAGGCAGTATCAATTATCAGCAAGTCTGTGGAGTAGGGAAAACTTGTCTATCTTGCTATTAGGTCTATATGTCCATGCATTCACTTTGGAAAGAATCTGGCAATACCTAGTAAGGCTAAAATCTCTTTAATTTCTCTAACTCAGAAATTCTACTCCTAGATGGAAACTCTCAATACACTATGAGTCACGTATAAACCAGTTAACAGCTTTCTGACGATAAAACAAAAAGGGAGGGGGAGGGTGATAAGGATAATTTTTTTGAACTATGGTCCATCTGTAAAATGCAGTATAATACAATAGTGAAGAATGAAGGAAGGAGAGCTACAGGTATCAACAGCTTCTTCATTTCTCGATGTCTTAGACAGTTACCTATTTGGGCTATACCTGAGTTTCTCCATTTGCAAAGCAAGGATATTAATCACACCCACCACATGGGACTGCTAACATCTGTCAAGTTTTTAGAACAGTGCCTGGCATGTGGCAACTATAATAGACGTGTTTTCTAAATGAGATGACTCTCAAATACAATGTGAGTGAAATATCAGTTTCAGTAAACAACATTCAATAAAATACCATGTATAGAAAGCATAAAAAACACAAAATAATACCACATTTTTACTACTTACAAATGTGGAAACATAGAGACAAGGACAACACCAAATTGTGGACAGTGACACTACAACAGAGGTGATATGGAGGGAACATTAGGGAGGTTTAATAACATTGATCTATGTGTTTATTTTTGTACCAGGACGATACTGTTTTTATTTCTATAGCTAGCAATCAAATATATATATTTGTGTCTGTTTGTGTGTGTGTGTGGTGTATATATGTTACATACTATATATACAATATAGTTAATTATTACTAAATTTATATAACAAGCTATTGGGACTAAGGAAACTATCAACAAAACAAATGTAATAGAAGAAGATATTTGCAAATAATATATCTGATAAAGGGTTAATATCCCAAATATATAAAGAATTTATACAACTCAACACACAAAAAAAAATAGAAATAATCCCAGTGAAAAATGGGCAGAGGACCTGAATAACTATTTTTCTAAAGAAGACATACAAATAGACAGCAGACACATGAAAAGATGTTCAGCATCACTCATCATCAAGAAAATGCAGATCAAAGCCACAAAGAAGTGTCCCCTCACACCAGTCAATATGGTTAATATCAAGAAGACAAGAAATAGCAATTGTTGGCAAAATGTGGAGCAAAGGGAACCGTCATGTCTCTGTCGGTGAAAAATGTAAATGGCACAGCCATTATGCAGAACAGTATGAAGATTCCTCAAAAAATTAAAAATAGAAATACCATAAGATCTGGCAATTCCACTACTGAGTATTTACCCAGAGAGAACAAAAACACTAATTTGAAAAGATACATGCATCCTTCTGTTCATTGCAGCATTATTTACAACAGCTAAGATATGGAAGCAATTTGCGTCCACTGATAGATAAGGAAAATCTATATAATATATATAGATATTATAAACAAACACACACACACACACAGAGAAATATTACTTAGCCATAAAAAAAGAATAAGATCTTGCCATCTTATTGCACATGAATGCACTTAGAGGGCATTATGCTAAGTAAAATATAAGTCATATAGAGAAAGACAAAAAAAAAAAAAAAAAAAAAAACAACCAGAAACAGACTCACAAATAGCAAATTGGTTGCCAGAGGGGAGAGGTTCTGGAAGGATGGGAGGAAGAAGTACAAATTTCCAATTATAAAATAAATAACTCACAGGGATGAAGAGTAAAGCATAGGAATATAGTCAATAATATTGTAATAACACTGTGTGATGAATATACTTACCCTGGTGGTCATTAGGTAACATAAAGAATAGCTGAGTAACTATGTTGTGCACCTGGAACTAATATAACATTGTTTGTCACCTATTCTTCAATAATAAAAAATTTTAAAAATGTAACCAGAAATGATCAATAACAGGAGATTAGATATAAATGGTCAATCGGCATATACAAATCTACATATCAAGGAATCAAAGCATGTAGAGTAAATTAAAATGAGAGATCACTTGTCCCACTACCAAGTTGTCAAGAAAACTTTGTAAGAATGAACCTCTTTCCCAGTGAGGCACAAGAATCAAGCATTCTCATACAAACTACTGAGAATTTATATAAACTGGGACAACTTTCCTGCAGTTCTTTTTGACAATATGTATAAAAATTTGTATGGGATGCCTGGGTGGCTCAGCAGTTGAGCATCTGCCTTCAGCTCAAGGCATGATCCCATGGTCCCGGGATCAATTCCACATTGGGTTCCCTGCATGGAGCCTGCTTCTCCCTCTGCCTGTGTCTCTGCCTCTCTCTCTCTCTCTGTCTCTCATGGATGAATAAATAAAATCTTTAAAAAAATTTGTATAAACTTTCTGACATAGAAATTGACCTTTAGGAATCTGTCTTTAAAAAGGATTTTAACATGGGTGGAGGTATAGTTACCAGGATGTTCTCACCATGTTTATTTAAAATAGGAAAAAATACTAGTCCTCTGAAAGTCTGCTGGAGATTAGGTAGAAAGAATTGGATATGGCCATACTATCTAATGTTACATAATGTTTTTAAATGATACAAAATATACTTATTGGCAGGAAAAAACAGCACGATATATGAAGAAAAGCAGAACACAAGGCATGTGTAACATGATTCCGTATTTGTTATATATATTTGAACAGTTCCTTTTCCTCTGTGTTTTCCAATTTCAAATAATTAAATGTATTACTTAGATGAGAAAGGAGTTATCAAACTATGCAGACGAGGAAAAGATACTGAAGGAAAAATTTAAAATCTAATGGAAGAATGTGAGGGCACTGAGATGCTGGATATTTTTTTCTTTTTCCTCTCTTTTATAAATGCTCTGCAACATTCTTACATTACTTTTACTACTTAAAATATTTTAAAAATTAATAGGGAAACCAGCATTGATTTGTAAGCCCATCATGAGGACCAATACGAAATTGATTCTGCTTCTTCCTGTTTCCTTTCCTCTCCATACGCCTTTGTAAGCATAGACACATTTCTCCCCATTTCTCTAGGGAAGCCTCTTGGTGACCTTGTGTACCAATCAAGAGTTCAGTGAGTACAGAGAGGAGCTGGTGCCAGACTGCCATCAGAGTCTCTGTGACTTCCCCACTAATCACTCGCTACACTATAAAAAGAGCTGATGGGAGAACTTGGCACTGGCCAGCTCTCCCCACCATTGCCTGGTGATGAGGCCCACCACTGGGCTTCTCTGGGTCTCCATCTCCTCAATCATGAGGGAAAGGTGTGTGTGTGTGTGTGGGGGGGGTTGTCTCTATGGTTCCCTTGGCCAAACTTTTCTAGATGCAGGTAAGAATTGCAGCTTGTAATAACCAAGGGAGACTTGCAAATCCACAGATCTATATCTACAAAGAGCTATAAAAACTAAAGGAGATTAAACAGAAGTCATGCTAAGCTATTTGGATCATGAGTTCACTTGAATTAAGTATCTGGATTTCACTAGATGCCTGCACTCACTCTGTAGTCTCTATTCACATCGCTGAGCTGCCAATAATTATTAGGGAGGCCCATTCGCTTGTACTCTTCACTGAGATCGATCAGCATCCAGCCCTGTTCTCTTTCTTCTTTATCCAGCTTGGGGTTGAATGAAAAGCAGTATAACTCCTCATATTTCACTGCAAGAAAAAGGAGAATAAAGCCAAATCAAGCCAAATCAAAACTAGGACCAAATCTCCCCAAAAGCATTCTGTCTGGGTTGGAGTTTATCAAGAAGCCAAACCAGCTTCTTGCCTCTTGGGATGCTCCTGGAGCACCCCATCTCTGTGGGCAGGTCCACCCACCTCCTCCCATCAGTGGCACAGGGATTTTGTGACAAGCAAACTCAACTTCATAAGAGCTTCTTTCCTTTCAGAAACAAGGCCTTTTCCATTTTTTGCCTTTTTAAAAAAAAAAGTTTTTGAAGACAAACATATTCTCCAGACCACATTAGAAATGGAGGTTAAAAATTAATTAAGAGGGATGCCTGGGTGGCTCAGTGGTGGAGCATCTATCTGCCTTTGGCTCAGGTCCTGATCCCAGGGTCCTGGGATTGAGTCCCACATCGAGCTCTCCCTCTGCCTATGTCTCTACCTCTTTCTCTGTGTCTCTCATGAATAGATAAAATCTTCAAAAAATTAAGAATGTATGCAAGAATTCAATTTATGTTTATCAAGCTTGGATTTGGGATGGCCTCTCAGAGGTAGATGGAGGCCCACACCCCTGCCACAATATGAAAAATAAAATAACAATTGAAAAGCTGTGGAATGTATTCAAGGGTTTGCCCTGAAAACATATGAATTTTTAGCAAACACATCAATGCCATAATTGCACTGCTCATACAAAATTCATAGGATTCATAAAAAAAATCAATTCATTGTGCAAGGCACCCTGGTCATGAGGGTCAAATTCAAGGAGGCATGATGAAAGTCTGCTTTCAATTCTGCCAACATGTCCATGTCTTTATGTAACACCCTTTCTGCTTGTGAGGCCAGGCCCAACAGCCTTTCCCATTTAGAGCTAGGATTTGATTTTCCTGCTCTGATTTTGTTATGTTGAAGGAAGCAATTACGCCAGTGCTGTTTAACAGAAATATAAGCAAGCCACATATGTCACTTAAAATGTCCTTGTAGCCACATTAAAAAACTAAAAAGAAATAATGAAGTTAAGATTTTACCAATATTCTTCATTAGAAACCCAACATATCCAATTATCATTTTGATATGTACATAATAAACTTTTTAATATTTCATATATATTATTTCATAATGTCTTTGAAATTCTGTGTGTGATTCACACTTGACAGTACATCTTCATTCATTCTAGCTACATTTCAAGGTCCACCAGCCACATGCAGCCATACTGGATACCGCAGACTACCATCTTGGATAGTGCAGATCCAAGCAATCTGGTAAAGACAAATCATAGATGATACTCACTGAACCCTTGTTTCATTCCAGATTCTGTTCTTGATAAATGTATTAACCCATGATGGGCCTCATTTTACAGACTAGAAATCTGAAGCGAAGGGAAGTTAAGGAACATACCCGGGGCCACACAGCTAGTAAGTGGGAACTCTGGATTTAAATTAGGCAATCTAGCTGTAGAGTGCATGCCCCTAATCACACACACTGCCTCTCTAAGGAAGATCCTTCTCCTTCTCCCCAGATGGACCACTTTTGTGTCTTTTCCCTTGTTCCACCCCGAGTCATCTTTTTCTCCAATAGATTTCTTTCTCCTCACAGTTTTCTTAGGTTCCCCCCCCCCACCTTTATGCCTTAATCTGTTGATGACATTCAGATGTGGCTAATTTAATTGTTCTTCAACGTGTGTCTGGAGACCCAATAAAGGATCTCACCACCAGCAAAAGGCCACAGTAACACACCAGCAGCCTGGGAGCTAAACTCAGTTTCAGGCTTGTTGTGACTACTATGGAAATGACTCATCTACAAGGAAGAAGATAGATAAGGGTCATATTTTAAGGACTAGAGTTTTTCATTAGACATGTACTCTTTCTTGTAGAAAAGAAGCAAAAGTCGGTTTATCAGTTAAACTATGTCCTATTTCAGTTTCTTTTGATATATCTCTAAACTTCAAGCTTTAGAATACTGATGATTTTGACCAATAAGGAAACACACACCTCCAGGTACCTGTACACACACAGAGTAGCTGCTCTCAGTAGGAACCATCTCTTGTAATCTTAGCTACTGGAGTAGGCAGCCTATGAAAGTGAGATCCTGTTCTGGGAACCATCATCTGGACACTGACACATCTTTTCCATCTCTCAGTACCATTTCATGACTCAGGCCTCTGATATCATAATGTTAACCGCAAATGCAATTTGTTCAAGAGGCCAAGAGAATCTCTAGAGAAAGCCTCAGTTCCTGCAGTCAAAGAAGAACTTGTGAATATAGGGTTAATAATGGAAGCTAAGTTCCCTTTGTTGAATAGTTACAACTAAGTTTAAAGGTAGAAGGAGAAAACCATTCTAGAACTATTGAGAATTTTCTGTGTATGAGCTCACACTGGCTGGCATTGGGGGAAAACAAGCACACAGAACACCAACTAAAGGAAGAGTAATTTATAGCAGTCATTAAGAAGATCATTCTTGATTTGGGAGCCATTAGAATCAGTTGCCATTAAAAGTGTGAAATGTTTTGAGTTATTTTTAAGCTAAAGGGTAATCACGCTCTGGCTCAAGTTAAGTAAAATTCTACATGAGGGCAAAGAAACTGCCATTTTTGTCAGCCAAAACTCGGTCTTATTCACATAGGCAAGCTTCTTACCCAAAGGCCAGCCCAGGGGAAGCCTTCGGCAGACAACAGCCTACTCTGAGAAATTAAAAAGTACCACTAACACAGATGTAAATTTTACTAAATATTTCCCATTCACAATGTTCTGTTGCCCTCCATCTCCTGCAAAATACATAGCAGAATTCTTAGTAATCAGCAAGGAGGGGAGTTAAAAACAACAAAAGTAGGGCTAGAGAAATCTCTAGTCTTTACAGAATCTGAACTGAGAGGACACACCTCCTTCAGAGAGGTCAGAGCCCTGGTTTCTCACCCTCATCTCTTAAAACAGACATGTTAAATACTCCACTGGCTTCTCACACCACAAAGTCTGAGCCATCACATCCAACATCAAATGCCTTTTGCTGTTAGAGGCGGCAGGGTTCAACAGGAGGTATGCTGAAGGACCCTCCCCCAGGGCTGCTCCCATAAGAAGTGAACACTCCATATGCTGGAGTAAGCTGAACGTGTACCTCCAATCTAAAAAAAAACATTATTTTTTTTAAAGAAAATTTTAAATCATTCTGGTATTTACTTTTAAAATCAGAAATCATTCTGGTATTTACTTTATTTACCCACCTAAAGCTTACAGTTGCTAAGCAAAGGCAGACTTGAAGGTTTTCCTATAGAGAAAGAAAAAAAAATAATTTCTAAAATACTACATTAAATCAAGAGTGGGTAGCATCTGGGTGATGTTTCTAGGAAAGCCAGATCAGTGTTTCAAGACTCAGGAGACAGCATAAGAGATGCAGGTTTTGAGCACTACCGTTCATCACGGACTCCTTAACACAGGGAAGCACCTGATCCTGCAAGGGGTTCCATACCTGTTGCTCTCATCAGGGCCTTGGCTCCTGGGCCATCCCCCTCTTCCTCCTCTCTGGGGAAGATTTACGCCATCAAGTGGCAATTTTCAACTTGGAACCACCAAGCTTACAAATGGCTCTGCCTCTGCACCCCACCCTTGCTCCTTCTCTCTCATAAAAAAGGAAAGGGTGTTCACTCCACCAGATAAGGCAGCTGTGGGTAAGACAAAGCAATTAGAGAAAAAAGAAAAACAACCCAGTTTGTTTCCCAGGTATCAGGCTAAATGGTTCTGGAGAACAGAATATTTCAGAAAAAAAAAAAAAAAAAACTGGGGAATTACCATGATAGACTCATTGGGAGAAACAAAAAGTAACTTAATACTATAATAAAAAATACTTTAAAAAATAAAAAGAAAAGTTATGTTACTGATGGTCTCCCTTTGGCAAAGTTTTTAAAAATCGAAAGGAAAGAACAAACAGGAATGGGCATTTGCAGAATGCAGAGGTGGGTCTGGGAAGGGCAGCACTGGGAGATGCACATACGTGCAGCTTATTAGAACCAAAAATCACAACTGAAAGCTCAGCTGCTCCCAACCTTCTGCACCTTCAGGCACCCTCAAATAACCAGAGCTGAAAAACCATTTACACGGGGTGAGAAGACAGCACAGCTATTCCTGGACTTGGCAGATTCAGAATAAGAATCAGGAAAGGTCTGCTGTTTCTTTTGCACAAGTAATGTGTTTGAATGAAACACCAGGGCTGAGGCAGCTACCTCGTGGTGGAAAAGGACTCTAGACTCAGAGATTAGTGTCATCAATAAAAAGCAAATTACCACCGCAGACACTGTATACGGAGCCATGACTTAGACGAGAACGTTAAAAGTGAAATTAAGCCAAAAAGGTAAAATTAAGCAAAATTAAAAAGGTAAATTAAGCAAATGATAGGATTTCAATCATGAGATTTTAAAAAACATATAAGTGTACAGAAGAACTGGGGACTAAGAACTGGAAAAAAAAACACTTGTTTAGAAAAAATGGGAAAATAAACAAAGATGGTTTAAATGTTAAATGGTCCACGAACACTACCGAGGGAAAGATAATTGATAGAAAAATAAACAACAGAAGGCCAATCAGAGAGAGGCGAATGCACATGGGAAAAGTGGGAGCTCTCTGAGAAATAGGGGTCTTCTCATCCGAAAAATGTATATCCTTCTTAGTACGCTGGATCCATTTTTCATTGGGGCCAAAGCTTTACTTTAAATTATTCTTGACTAAGAATTAAAGAGTTTACTGAATTTGGCTACTTCAATTTTTCACTCTTACCAAGTCTGAATTCACACAGAGGACAAACCAATAAAACCTCGCTAAATGTTTTAGTAGTTGATGTACCCTTATTCTAGAAAACCTAACTCAGTGAAGACGGAATCTCAAGAGCTCTGAAAATATCTCCTTCATAAGACTTGACTGAAATGGACTCCCAAGCATTTCTTCTTTAAAAAAAAATATACATATATATATTTATTATATATTATCATATAAATATATTGTATCATTTATATATATTTTTATATATTTATAATATATATAATATATATATATAGTGTCCTCCACAGGATCCCGCAGTTTAGCTATGTCTATGAGGGTAGCTGGAAGAAGTTGATTTGTGTTGGTGACTAACTGGAACCACAGAGAGCTATATCGTGCTACTAGAATTCAAAGTATACTACACACACGCGCGCACGCGCACACACACACTCACTCACTCCTATTCTGAAAGACCTACAGGAGGGGGAAGGTGTATTTTGCAAAAGATCCTCGGATGGCTCTGATAAGCCACCTCTACTCCCAGCTGGGACCCCCTCCACCTTTCTTTACCTCCACCCAGTTTCAAAAGCCTGGTCCCTGGGTTATAGGCTGTCACGTGTCCTAATTTTAGCATTGCCTCTAACATTAAACTGTGAAATTGTCTGGGTTCTATTTCATCTTCCCACACTTATTAGAGCACTATGTTTTATGCAAACTGGCATTTCTAATTCCGTGTTTGAAAATGCTAGTAGCTTTCTAAAAATCTAAAAATAGGTTTAATTCAATTAATTACCATGATTTCCTTTTTTTGGCTCTCTGGCTATTTCTAATACCTAACTCCCAAATGTCACCTTTAAGAAAAAGTGTGTGTTTTAAAAAGTGAGGGCCACAGAGATTTTCCTCCCTGAGGGCCCTCACAACGAGAGTCCTGGCACTCGCTGTCATCACTGGCCACAGCCCTCACAGTCAATGTGATTTGCTCTTCCAGCCACTCAGCTCTTTCCCAGTTCTCTGGGCTATTCCTAAATCCTATTAATCCGGTCAGAGCACATTTATTATCCAGTACACCCATTAATCAGTGACACAGAAATTGCTGGCACACAATTCTCCTCGCATTCCCTGCTGCACGCAACTTAACATACATCTTCCCAGAACTTCTGTTCCAATTATAGTGCACTCTCTAAAAAGTTCAACTGCTTTTCTGGCTAACTCTGCAGTTCTTTGCAACACAGTGAGATGAAAAAGCCTCCACTGGCTGCCTGAAACATGGGGCAAAGTCAAGTCAAAATTATCGGATTTTGACAGCTCCCTGGCATCATATTCATGAAATAACTTTAGTTCCTCACTATCTACATGAGATGATCACATAAGAAACGGAGGACCCAACTAAACCCCATGCAGACGTTACGATCGAACTTCTTGTCCTGAATCCAAAAGCAGTTAGCAAAGTAACTGTAAAGATGTATCCCATCTTCCTTGTCAGTGACTTTGGTGTAACACTACCATAGACATTACTCTTATAGAAAAGGTTTATTTTTACTAAATTCTCCCCAGAAACTCAGATGCCTATCTCTTTTAAGCGAGAGGACACCACAGTCCATACAAGCCATACAGAAAGACAAGACATACTTCTCTAGAAGTGTATAGTAAGCAGTAACTCTGAAGACCCCAACCCGAGGGACATAACAGGAGAGTAACTGTCAGCATGTATTTTTCAAATCAACTAAACATTCTTCCCATGACACTTAAGAAGGTTCTGTTTAGGAGAACATATCCATACGGTGAATACAACTATTGCTAACAAAGGTCTAGTTACAACCTTGGGAAACATATATCACCATCAAAAAGCAATAAAAAAAAAAACCAGAGCCTTAAAAGCCCCAAGAGGGGAAACTGCCCTAAAACTGTTTGATATTAATATTTTCCACACAAAACAATTTATCAGTTTTAGCTTAGGCTTCAAGCACGGTGGCTCAACTATCACAGTCTGGGAAGGGCACAATTTTAGTACGATTTCACTACAAAATGAAAAGCTATGACCCCCCTTTCCCAAAGATAAAGTGAATAGTAAGAATAATCAAATAATCAAAGAGGCTCATTGCCTTAAAGGCAAGGAATCATGGAGAGTTCTTGGCCCCTCTGAGGACTGGGATAGCATATAATTCCTAAAACACCAGAATTCTTGAGCTATGCATATTTCTTGAAGACAATTTGTGAACTTAAGGGTGCGACATACGATATGCCTGGTTCCTGCACCCTACCTGGCCTTGCAAGGCGTATCAGAGAGATGTACACATCGTGGCAGTCTCGTTCCTGTGGTATGATGAGCTGCAACAGCTGGAAGTTCTTGCAGCGAATAAGCAGAGGGCATCCAGTAGCGGTTGTTGCCTGCTTTTCGATGGTGGAAATCTGACTGTGAAGAATCTACAACCAAAAGTCATGTGGAGAAGCTGTGCACAAATAACTGGTAAATGAGACAAGGGGTAACACGGATCTCTGAAGGAACACAGACAAGAAACACTCCTCCCATCTTGAGCTAGCTCAACACCTGCACTCAGATGACAAGAACCAATGTTCTGGGAAAGAACCATCTAAATGTATCATTTTATTTTTCATTACCAAGCCTTCTGATATCCAGGCTAATTATTTAGAGCCAACTATTCAGCATATAATTTTGTACAAGTCCAGGTAAGGGAACATATTGGTAGTCACATGCTGAATGCACTTAATAGCTAAAATTAAAGAAGGTCATGAGAAATTAGTAAAATAAACCTCGCAATCAACAAAAGCTAGAGATGGCTCCACTGGGAGGTGCCACCATGCTCCTTAATTCCACATGGAATGCTCAAGTTCAATAGCAACTTAAGATTGTTGTTTTCTAAGTCAGGCAGGCTGGAGAAGAGATCTATGTTAAAGAAAGTCATGCTGAAAATACATCTCTCTGGTGCTTTAGTGGCCAGAGTGGTTGGGGCTTCTGCTCAATCAATGGTAGCATTCATTATCTTATTTTATGTGAGTATAGTTGACACATACACACACTGTTACATTAGATTCAGGTGTAAAATATAGTGATTTATTAAGTCCACACATTATGCTATGCTCCCAAGTATAGTCACTGCCTGTCACAAGTCCTCTCCACCCAGTAATGCCTGCCACCTTCTGCTGAAAATGTAGCAATGTTTATAGAATATAGAAAGGGGAAAAATCTACAATGCAGGGATTCTGGTTCTAGTCATAGTGTCACGGTTGGGTGGCTATATCAAATAAGATGTAAGGGTCTTATTATTAAGTAGCAGAAATACCTGACAACGGGACACTTTCCTAGCTTTCCTTGCCTTCTTTTTCAAATTATTGGAAAAGTGAAGACAACATAATAAGATGACTAAGTGGCCTGCATTATTGCATCCTGCAAATAAAACGTCTTTCCAATAAAGCACTACATTAATGCTATATCTGGCACTGATATTCTGGAATCTCTACTTGACAGCTGAGACATGAAGCACTTATATCTCTGGCTATTTCTAGGCTTGTCTTTGATGATGTTCAAATAATCAGTGTTGAAGATGAATAAGCAGATCAAGTGGATTTGACTCTCTGCAGAAAAAGGCAAAGCTGACCTTCCAGAAACTGTCCTTTCAATACCCAAATACCAAAAGCCCACCCACCTCACCCTATGCACAAACAAAAGGAGGGTCAAAACTTGTTACTTTAAGCAACAGAAAAATAGAGAATGCATACCCATGTTTCTTTTCTTGTGTCAGGTGCATTTTCCACGAATATGACATGAGTAGCCGTCAAATACAAAGTACCTAGGGCTGCCTTTTTAGAAGATAGCCGATCTACCAAACGGACATTTTCGACCTAGAGAAATCAGTTTGACAGAGTTATAATAAAGCAAAAGACTTCATATGAATAAATAGTAAGACATCTTGAATTTAATCCCAAATATAATTTTGAGAATTCTTCCAATAATAAAGCCCAAAACTTGTTCTCTTAGATACCAGTATATGATTCTGTATATCAAGACAAAAATTCATTACTTAAAATATTATTTTAAATGTACCATAAAAGATTTATAGACCTTATTCTTTAATAGCCTTTCTGTATTTTAAATAAGTCTGCATTTTTATTTCAATATAGTTATATAAAGCAAGAAGTGTATGCATCAGAGTTTTTACAACCACCACGTATGAATTATGTCTATTAAATGGACAATAATGTATTTCCCTATGTATTTCTCGGTAGTAGAAACAGTCTCAAGGCAGTTTGCTTCTGCATAAACTAGCAGGAAATATACATGTGGGAGCAAAAAGTATCAGAGAAATGTTCTGCATGTTTACAAGGAAAAATCTACCAAATTAAGATGCTCACATTCATTTATAATAAAAATTTCTCTAATAAATGGAATTTTCACCAATGACCTTCAATGGTTACGGGAGATCTCTGGAAACAATTTTTATTGAGCATACCTCTCTTCTAAGCAGAGCAGCTTCAAGGATATGTGTGCTGGTATCATTCCAATAGGAAATATAATGGAAATTCTTAGACAATCTCTACAGGGTAAGTGGAAACTAAAGAAACTATGACTCTAACAAGGCAAGGTCACCACAACCACCAGATGAACATTCCTGAAATGATGGTGGGCTTGGCAGCACTACTTACTACTTACTACAGCCGAGGGTCAACCATCTACAGACAGATACTGGCTCAGCCTCTCACCCCCTCAGGTCAGGATGGCTACCTGCTTCCATGAGAAAGCCTCAGGGAACAGTGAATCACATTTGCTCTGTATTCAGTCTAATATGGAAGTGGTGGCCCTGATGTATTTGAGAGCACAGGGCTTCCTCCCTGCTCCAGGGACGATGCAGGGGAATAGAAGACCTAATGAACACTCCTCAGGACACCAAGGTCAAACAACACTCAAGACATTCTGCTGCCTCAGTCTTCTCAGCCCTGGAACCAACCAGCCTTCTGAGAAGAGCACTGGAGGAATCCCATCCCACTTCTTCCCAATTTCCAGGGATCTGATGAGATCAATAAAGAATCTGGAATTTAAAATATGTTTTTATTCGTACAATTTAGTCTGAGGTGGTTGCATGATTCCTGATGCCTTGTCTATGTAATGTCTATGTAAAAGATGCTCATTCAATAAGAGTGTCTTAACCTACCAGCACATAGTTCTAAAAAGTATTTTTTTGTTATTGATATGTTCCTTTCATATCATTATTCATCACTGCGTCTCTTGCAAATGGTCTTCATGTCACCAGTTTACTTTCCTACTAGGTGATCATCATTTCTTAGGTATTCGTAAGAACTTTTTATATTAGTAAGGAGAATGGCGGCCAAATTTTTGTGTGTTTTGTAACTTTCTCTTCACCAAACTCTTTTACCGCCTCTGTTAATTGTTTCAATGTCTGTTAGATGCTCTGAGTAGACACGAATATTTTCTGCAATAATTTGTTTCTTCTCTTCCCGTATTTATACATCCTTTTCTTTTCCTTGTTTACTGGCAGTAACTAGCACCTTCAGATTAACAGTGAATAGCAATAGCACTCACATTTTCATTTGTTTCTTTTTAAAATACATCTTTATTGAGATATAATTCACATTCCACACAATCCACTCACTTAGAGTGTACTACTCAGTGGTTTTTAGTATATTCACAACGTTGTGCCATACATCTCTCCTCGTGCATCCATTACCACAGTCAATTTTTTTAAAAAAATTTCATTGCCCCAGAAAAAAACCCTGTGCCCATCAGCCTTCAGGCTTCTCTTCTTCCCCGATCACCTCAGCACTAGGCAACCATCAGTATACTTTTCTTAGTGGATTTGCCTATTCTAGACATTCATATAAAAGGGATCCTACAATATGTTGTATGTACTTTGACTGATTTCCTTCACTCAGCAACATGTTTTCAACTCATGTTTCAATCCAGATTAATCCATTTGTGAAATATGTCAGTACTGCATTTCCTTGTATTGCCAAATAATATTTCATTACATAGATACAGATATATCACATTATATTTATCCATTTGTCAGTTGGTGGACATTCAGCTTGTTTTCACATTTTGGCTATTATGAATGATGTGCCATGAACATTTTTTTACAAGTTTTTGTGAGGACATTCGTTTTCATTTCTCTTCAGTATGCATATATATACACACATAATACACCCAAGAATGGAAAGACTGTGTCATATGTAACTCTGTTTAACATTGTGAGGAACTCCCACATTGTTTTCTAAAGCCATTGTACCATTTTACATTCCTACTACCAGTGTATGAGGGTTCCAAGTTTTCTACATCTTTGACAACCCTTTTTATATCTTTCTGATTACAACCATCCCAGTAGGCATAAGACAGTATCTCACTGTGATTTTGATTTACATTTCCCTCAAGATTAATGATGATGAGCATCTTTTCATGTACTTCTGTTTTTAATGGAACACTTCCAATATTTCACCATTAAGTTTGATGTTGATACTTGTTTAAATCACACTGGGGAAGTGACCTATTCCTCATTCACTTTTTGACTTTTAAAAATCAGGAATGAATACTTTTTTAAATATGATGAATATTTGTTTTACTTTAGTCCTATATTACCAATAAAAGGAATATATTTCTTAATCTTTAAAGAAGTTTTGGATTCTCCGGATTGGTGTTTTAATATGTCTTATTATTTTATCTGCTATAACTGTTTTGATTTCTGTTTTGTTTTCGCATCTCTGCTTTCAAGAGATACCGACAAGTACCAGCCTATTTGTTCTACTTTTATCAGGTGAATTCGCCATGGTTATGATGCCCTCAATGTTACTATTTTTTTTACTAAATCTCATTTTGGCATCTATTTTCCTTACAAGTTATATTCTAATAGCTGTTTTTCAAATTCTTAAACTCTTTTAATTCCTATCTGTGGATGAATCCCTCCCTCTTTACCCTGTCTCTCATTCCTAAGTTGTGAATTATGTTTTTACTTTCTTATGATTAGATAAGCAAAGTGTTTTCTTCAAAATAACAGGTCCTGGGCCTATAGATTTAATAATATTTCTCTTTTCTAATTGTTTAATTTCTGCTCCTTTGTTAGTAATATTTCAGCTTTTGTTGGTTTATTATGTGACTTTGTTTCTTTGTTCATTTCTGAACTCTCAGGTTTGAGTCACCTCATTCATTATCATCCCTTTTGTTTAATAACAAATCTTTTAAGTCCAATAATTTTCCTCCAAGTAAATCTTTGGCTGCACCTTATGAGTTTCACTTGCAGTATTATTGTTCTTCCTTCCTAGGAGAGTCTATAACTGTATTTTTTTATTGCTTGTTTGACCCAGGAGTATTTAAGAAAAATTATTTTTCAATTCCCACATGATCAGATTATTTTATTTAAATTTTTGTCAGTAAATGTTCTATTCTGAACTAACTACAAGAAAGACCTTATGGAAGAGAGTTGTGGGAGAAGAAAAGCAAGGGGATATATTATTTTTGGAACATTTCTATGGGAAAATACTGATTTGCATGCTAAAATATAACTACCTAAATTAAGTGGAGGTTCAGGGGTGATACACTAGTTAGCAGTATCTAAAAATGGAATATAAATAATTTTCCCTGCCCTTAGGACTAAGGAGACAAAACTTTATTGGGATAATCAGATTGAACATAAGATAATATTTTGAGGCAAAAATATTTAGTATAGATTATTCTTTCAATAGCAGTGAAGGAAACTATACCACTCAGATTATTTTTAGAAACCATCAGTGAAACAAAATGAGGTTCACAGATGGTGGCAGATTAGAATACTTAATGAGATTTTTTTTTCTGTGTCTTTTTGTTAACTTTGGCTGCTGTTGCAGGAAAAATACATTTCAAAATTTGGCAATAGTTCTTATAGGTCCCATTGCTGTTAAAAGTAATTTTGAAGTAGAGGGAGAAAAAAAAAATGAGGGAAACAAGAAGAGCATGATTTCCCAGTGATCTGTAGCAACAAAATAAATGAGTAAAAAAAGTTAAAACTCAATTGTTTGAGAAGCTCTATGATGATAGGGAGCACTGCTCAGGGGCCACTACATGGTTTACACTAAGATAGCTAGAACATTCTTGACTGTGACTCTAGAGTCAGTCAACTGTAGATAAAATAAAACAAATCTCAAGAGTTTGGCCACCATCTTGATGACCCACTGCTTCAATAACTCCATCTCACTGTTCAGCTAACTTAATTCTAACTTAGACATACAATAAGCTATAAGATAATAAGGCTTATTTCATGCCTGGAGAGACAGGACCAGCTTCTCTAGATAATGTTATTATAATTCATTTGTGCATTCCCAGGAACACCATGCTTAAGACACACTGGGTATTCATGCTTTGCGAACAGCAGTTCATCTATGCAAAACATTAATTATTGGGTGTGCCTTATTCACATTCCGACATTTCTGAAAATGGAATTCATCTTACAGTTAATGTGTAAGAAGCCGTTATGTCATTTAATTGGCCATGCTTCTGTCTTTCTTTGTAGGGAAAAAAAAATCTGGGTGCAACTTACCATCACTGATGTCTTAGATTTGCTGACATGCAGTTAAATTTGTAGTCATTGGCACATAAATAATATTTGAAACCACAAGACCCAAAGAGCTTATCCAGGGAGAACATGCAGAGACCGAAGAAAAGAAATCTGAGGAAATCCAACTCTTAAAGAAGTGATAGAAGAGGAATCAGAAGAGCAAACTAGAAGGGAATCCAGCTGGAGGAGAAAAGTCAGGAGAATGTGCTGTCAAGGAACCATGGGCACAGGGAGTAGTTTATGAGAAAGGGAGTGTCCATTCTCAATGCTGCTAAGAGATCACGTAAGGCAGTAACTGTAAACTGT